CAAAATTATTTGTTAGATTCCATAGACTGGTTTCTGGGAGCATGTTCCAGGCAAATGTGATAGATCGGTAGTTGTTCAAAGGAATCTAGATTACCCACATTACATTGCACTAATTTAGAGTTAGCAATAGTAGGCTATTGATGAAAAATGTATTACAGCATGAACTTTGGTAATCTAGAGGCCACTTCATTAGTTTAATTATTATCTTCCCAGCCAAAACCACTTAAAGTGGAAATAAGGATATAGAAAGAAACTGTTAGAGAACATAGGTTTTTAGGATAAATTTGGAGGAACTAAAGTGGGGATTAGTCTGAGAGGTAATTGTTTAGATAACTAACGTGGAGAAAAGGCACTGTGGTATGAATAAGAAATGTTCAGGCATCTGAAGGAGATTTAACAGTAAAGAGGCCAGGCACAGGACAAATACAAAAATAAAGAAATTGGTGTAGAATTTGGAAATGGAAAAAAATGCCAGTATTTAGAATTAAGGAAGGACCTTATGTGGTCAGATTATGTATCTGATTTTGATAACAGAATGCTGGAGAAGGGTGAATGAATGCAAAGGAAGATTAGAGAGTAAAATGTGCAGGGCATGGACCAATCTTTTTCTAAAAAAATGTTTGCAGAATGAACTAAAAGGGGAATCATGCTTTCAAATATTGTAGAGGGAGAAGCATCATTTTCTGACTGATTCATCAAGGGCAGAGGGAACAGAGAAATCTGGGAGAAAACCAGAGATTTGTGCCTGTTAAACTGTTTGGAGGAAATAGGTAGCAAGATAGAATGAAGTGCACAGATATTGGAAAGAAATGTGAGATGTTTGGAATTGAGTAGACAGAGCACCAAGGAGCACTTAAGTTAAATATCAGAATACATTTGGAGAAGTAGATTAGATAGGATGGAAAAAGTTATAGGATAAAAAATGACATGCTATATAGGTCCTTAGAACTAAGTCCAAAGGGATTTCAGCAAAGAGGGAAAACAAGAAGAGGTTTATTAAGGAAGGAGAAAACTTGCAGCAGTCATTGGAATTTATGTCCATTCTAAGGTACATGGAGTTCAATCTCTGGGGGAATTCTGATGGTCATGAGATAAAATTATGGATTGAAATGTTCCAGAGGCAAAGAATTTTTTTTAAATGGAAAAAAAAACCCAGCTTCTGTTCAGGTTTACTACTCAGAATAAATTGCTAGGAAGAAGACTGCTTTATATTAGTGTTTTGGTACCCAGTTGTCTATCTGGGAGGGTCCAGCAGACTGGATAGAGCTGTCACAGACATGAAATCTACTCAGCATTGAGTTGAGAGCAGGGGTGTCAAACTTACGTCATCACTGCTGCATCATGTGACATATCAGGACTTTTTCCCTCTTCACTAAACTGGGTGTGGGTGTGACCATCATGTGATGCATCTGGCCCATGGGCCGGGAGTTTGAGAGCCCTGGTCTAGAGCAATGGTCACCAACTGGTGGTCTGTGGACCACTGGTGGTCCACAAGAAAATTTTGGTGGTCTGCAAAAAAATTGTTTGCATTTTTTATATTGCACTAAATCAGGGTTCCTCAAACTAGGGCCCCTGGGACAGATACATGCAATGAATATTTGTGTTGCTGCAGAGAATCTCCTCCTTTGGGGTCTTTTTGTAGGGGTCAGAGTGGGGGGAGAAATTCCGACTTGGGTCTGCTTCAACCTCCTGGTGCGGGGCTTTGGGCGAAGGCTGGAGGGAAGTGCCGCTGATGGCATAGATCTGGAGGGCCTTGTTCCAGTGGGACTGCCTCATGGTCTGGAACTAGCTGACCATCTCAGCCAACTGAGCCTCCAGGCACCAGTACCTGGTCTTGCACTCCTGCAGGTCTTTCTTCTGCTGAGCCTCCTCTCTGTCAGATCCAATTTGAACTGAGCCAGCTGTTTCGTCAACTCTTTCTCATGGTGGCTCCAACAACTGCTTTCTGTAGAGGGCCTAAGGAGCCTGGGTGGGGAGGCAAGGAGTGGTTGGGAGGGCAGGAGTGAGGAGAGGTCAACAATGTGTCCCTCAATGTGAGTGACATCGAGTGACACGCCCACGCATTCACATGACCACCTAGCCATGCCCACCCAGCCAGTATTTAGGCAGATCATATTAGTGGTCCCTGAGGTCTGAAAGGTTGGTGACCCTGGTCTAGAGCATAGGAGCTCATACAGGAGACCAAACTATAGTACTGAAGTGACAGAGAAGTGAAGGAAAATGAGACTGGAGTAGTAATTAAAATATTTTTCTCACAACAATTTTATGTGTATAAATTCATTAGATATATTTTGCATTTTTGCATTAAAATTGGAACACAGATCTTTTGCTGAAAGTGAGATGATGAGTGGGATGAAAAAAAACCTAAGATTTTTTTTTAATTTAAAAGAGGTTCTCAGTGTCTTATTTATAAAAAAGATGCTGCTTCCAAAAAGATGCTGAAATAAAGCCAGAGACAAAAGGTTATCAAGAGTAGGGCTATAAGACAAATATCAAAGAAGATAGGGAGAAACAAGGAGATGCTTTTAGGGTGGGAGTGGCAATTTCAGATACAACTGAAAAATAACAAGAGATAGTGGACAACATAGTATTTAGAAAAAGGAAGATGGGTATAATCATGGAAATGGGGCTTGATAGATACTGTGACTTTTCAAAGCTACTTGCTGAAGACCCAAAAATAAAGAGGCTGATAATATTTTTTATTTCACTAACAAATTTAGTTGTCTGCACTTCATTTCATCAGATAAATAGAATGGTAAAACCTTATTTTTTTAAAAAAAAAATTAAAGTGGTTGATTGAAAAAGGTGCTACCAGACTCTTGATTTTTTGGTATCAGATTAACATAGCTCCTACTTTTTAAAGAGTGATGATATTTCAAACAGACTTCTTCCATTCCTCATGAAAAATAATTGTATGCTAGAAATTACCTATTCTAGAGGCAGAGCAAATAGGATTTTTAGTTAGTTAAATTTGCACAAAACACCAAGCCAGATTTGCCTAAAACTCTGGTTTGATGCTGCACAATGATTTCATTTGATTGCTTTTGTAAATTGCTGTAGCTAAATTAATACAAAATTTATTAGGGCAAATAACTTTTGCTAAGGGATTTTTCATCCCTATGGGTGTTAAGAGCTGGGGTGGTGCAGTGGTTAAAAGGCAGTACTGCAGGGCTAACTCTTTGCTTACTCCATGAGTTCAATCCTGACAAGCTCAAGGTTGACTCAGCCTTCCATCTTTCCAAGATTATTAAAATAAGGACCCAGATTGTTGTGGGCAATATGGTGACTCTGTAAACCACTTATAGAGGACTGTAAACCACTGTGAAGTGGTATATAAGTCTAAGTGCTAGTTAAATAGGAGGGGACTGAAATTGAGTTTAAATTTTGTAGTATATCTAGTTTGCTGAATAAACTAAATTTGTTTGAATTTACACTTGTGCTAATTATAAACATATTCTATAATTCATGGTAACTGTATGCATAGAACGGGTAGAGTTCAAAGCAGAAGATAATCAAATTATCGCATAATTAACAGGTGGTCCACCTGTTAATAGGACCACCTGTTAATTATGGCCAAGTAGCAAGGTCAGTTTTTGTAACAATTCAGGTGTGTAAAGGAGCATCATAGAAGCCAACTCTGACTTCACCCCCTTCATGCCTTGCCTCTGACCCTGTTTCCCCCTCCCCCCAAAGTGTGTCACTTGGTCACATTCCCCAATGAGGTAATTTCATGGGTTGCAGAAGTCACTCCCTTCCAGGCATTGTTGGTATCAACGGAGATGGCCTTGACTTGCTCAGCCAGAATGCATCTTCTTATGACTTAGGAGTAAATTCCTTGGTGCAGCTGCGAGATGCAATTTCCCATCCCCCTACCTATGGTAACTCAGGAGCAGGTCAGGGAAGTTTCACGAGTTGACACTAAGTATATTGTTATGAATGGAAGAAAAAACTTGTCTAGCCTTCACTTTTTTGAAAAAAAAGGCAAGGTATTTGTATAAAATATAAATGTTACCTTTTATCTCTGGTCTCAATTTTCAGCGTATCGATACAAATGTTAACTTTATTTATTGCTAATCTGTTTCAATCCTTGGGTAGAAATAGATGATAAATATTAACAATAGTTAAGGTATTGCCATGATGAAAACTAGTCATGATTAAGATGCACAGGGAAAGGTCCAGGTGAATTTCTATGAAGAAAAAATCGGTCAGTGAATTAGCTTGATTATACTTACGCTAGGTTTTATAATATTTGCTTTAATTAGTTGGTTAATGGGTTAAAAGAACAAGTAATTCAGCTCCGCTAAAAGCATTGAATTGACTCTTTTGAATTAGAATACATTTGCAGACAAAATAGTATGAAATGTTAATGAGAAATTTAATTAGCCTTATTTGTGTGTGCAAGTAGTGTGGTATTTCCTACCTTGCCCTTCTTTCTGTTTTTTTCTAAGGGGAACATACAGGTCACTAATGTGTGGGTGTGTGGAAGCTTTTCCAGTTTCTTTAACACTAACTTGTAATTTTGCTAAGAACTTAAATTACAGGCAGTCCTCAATTTATGACTGTTTAACTTTGATGGTTCAAATTTACGGCAGCCTTGGAAAAAGTGACTTATGGCCTATATTTACACTTAAAAGCATTGCACCTCCCACCCCCCAAATGGCCATATGATTTTAATTTGGGTGTTTGATAACTGGCTTGGATCATGACTGGTTGCGGCCTCCTGCAGTCACGGGGTTGTGATTTGTTACCTTTTTTGCCAATTTCTAGCAAAAAGCACCCAATGGGGAAACTGGATTTCTTAATTACTATGGTGATTTACTTAACATCCATCATTAAAAATTAGATCTGACTGACTTATGACTGCAACAACGTATGTCAGAAATTCCTGTCCCAATTGTGATCATATGTCAATGAGTAAACTGTACAGACATAAAAAAAATTTATATTCTGTACCAACCTGTTTCATATAGTCCCATCTCATAGTTGTCCTTTCTCTGCAGTGTTCTATGCCCCGGTCTCTTTGGCTGGGCTGCTCCAGCCTGGCGGACAGCATGCCCTCACTGCGATGCCTGTATAACCCAGGGACTGGCACACTCACAACTTTTCAGGTACTTTCTCACTCTGTCTCTCTCTGGGTGTCTGAGGTTTGTGATCCTGTTTGTTTTCATAACTTCTTTCATCTTTATTATGATTGCTATTGCTAGTGCTTTTACAAGCATGTCATTCCAGTTGTTCATGTTGCAGAGATCCAGAGTTGGCCATTAACACAGAAAGATTGATGGTTCTGATAGAAATATTTTTGCTAAGATCTCACAAGAAGATACAGTGCTGATCCTTGCAAATTAGGTATAGTTGTGCTTAGAAAGATTGGCCTGGACAGGAAGCCATTTGATATTTAAATTAGAACATAAATATGGTAAAAATTGGTACTTCATATTCAAGCTGTCTGATTTCTGGCTTGTGCTGTTATTCTTGCTTTCCTAGTGGTGTACTGACAATGGAAGAAGGTAGACAGATAAGGTTAATTGTCATAGATTCTGGAATAATTTATTTCTCTGCCTTCTGTCTATCCCATATTCCATTTACACCCCTACTTCACACAGAATCAAGGGTATATTTCTGGAGGGTGACTTTTGCCTTTTCTGAGATTGAAATTAAAACGTTTTTTAATTAAAAAATTAAAACTTTTTTTTACTAAATTATACTATTCAAAAGATCAAGACTTTATTAAGTGATATTGTAATGAACAGACAAACATTGTAATTTACAAATTGATCTTTTGGATAGTCCTCAACTTAGGATCACCATTGGGACTAGCAGTTGTTAAGTGAGATGTCACCTGACAGCTTCACTCAACAATCACAATCTCAGCAATTCCCCTTGCTGTTCTTAAGTGAGAATTGTGGATCATTAAGTGGATGGAGTCCCAGATAAAGAACATAGGACTGCCTCAGGGATAGGGGGTGGCCGTGGCAGGCTGCATGCAAGTTGGGGTGCTGTAGTGTGGTGAGAGCAGGGGAAAGCTTGGAAAATAAGCTAGGCCAATCCTAGAAGCCTCAGACCCAGTCTAGCCCAGCAGCACGACTAAACACGTCATGCCTTGGGGAGTGCCAAATGCTTAGGAAGCGCCAGGTGCAGCACAAAGCAGCCACGCTTCTCCCGTAAAGGGCCAATGCCTGGGAGGCCTCCACAGTGGCGTGTAAAGCAGTGTTTCTGAAGGAAATCCAAATGTCCTGGCAACTAAGTGCTTTGCAAGGAAATACCCTTTTCCAGCAAAACTCCCAACGGATAACACCTGAGTGCTTTCCTGCAAGAAAGGAAGAATCCTCAGGGAGTCAAGCCACAGCCAAGAAAGAGTCAGCTGTTGAACTCTATTGCTCTTTTCTTAGCTGATGGTGACCTCTGACCATCAGCTAAGAAAAGAGCAATAGAGTGCAACAGCTGACTTTTTCTTGGCTTTGGCTTGACTCCCTGAGGATTAAAAGCACCATGCAGCTCTCCTGTGGAATCAAGAGATCACCTCTAGCAATCTATTTAGTGGTTTCCATGCAAATTGCCTGGTTGCCAGGAATAAAAGTCCCAATTAGATAAGGAGTGAAAAATTGCAATGGAAGTGAAGAGAAGCATTTTAAGACACTGTGGTTGAGGGACTGCCTATCTTTCCCCACTCTTTAGCCAGCTCCAGCCCCGCCCTTGAGTGTGGCAAAATTGGGTGTTGCTTGGTAGGCGTGGCATGGCTTGGTGGGCGTGGCTTGGTGGGCATGGCAGGGGAAGGATACTGTAAAATCTTCATTCCCTCCCCAATCCAGGGGAAGGTTACTCCAAAATCCCCATTTCCTCCCAATCAGCTGGGACTTGGGAGGCAGAGAATAGATGGGGGCGAGGCCAGTCAGAATTTTTACTACTGGTTCTCTGAACTACTCAAAATTTCTGCTACCAGTTCTCCAGAATTGGTCAGAATCTGCTGAAACCCACCTCTGGTATACCTCATAAAAAGGGCATAGGTGGGTGGAGTTACAGCGCGCCTGTGGGTGTAAGTGCAGAACTGCCAAGCACCACATTTTGATCATGGAGTTGCTGCAATGGCCAAAACTTGAAGTACCAGTTGTGAGTCACGTATCTCAGTGTGTTTGTAATTTCATCACTGAATGAATGGTGGTAAGCTTGGGAATACCTGTATTTGTGTTTAGCTGGAGTTGTGCAATACAGGTAGTCCTCAGTTTATGACCACAATTGGAACCAGAGTTTCTATTGTTAAGTAAGGTTGCTGTTAAGTAAGTTGCGCCCGATTTTACAACTTTTTTTCTTTGCCATGGCTGTTAAGCGAATCACTGCAGTTGTTAAATGAATCATGCTGTTGTTAATCAAATCTAGCTTCCTCAGATTGATTTTGCTTGTTGAAAGCTGACTGGAAGGTTGCAAATTGTAATCATATGATCCTGGGATTCTGCAGCTACTGTAAATACACGCTGGTTGCCAAGCTTCTGAATTTTGATCACACAATCATGCAGATGCTGTGGAGTTGCAAGTGCAGGGACCTGTTGCAAATTGCTTTTTTCAGTGCCGTTGTAACTTTCAAATGGTCACGAAATGAGTGGTTGTAGATTTGAGGAGTCTCTGTACTACATATAATGTGTATCAATAGGAAGTATTGATATGCATTACATATCAATTTATATGTTATATCCTTCTATTTTCTCATGTTGAAAGATATATGTATTCAGGTATGTATATGAAAGAGATTCTTCTTATAACTGTTCGTTATAAGAATCTGTTCACCCAAAAGACCCAAAATTGAAAAATCCAGAAGTAACTGAAGTTGTTTTTACATTTAGTACAAAACAAGATTAAATAATTTGTGTCTAAAAAAAAGTAGGCAGTTTCCCACAAGATAGTCTGAATCTTCCCATAGACTTTAATTGATCTTGGGCATTTTCACTCCTCCTTAGTTTTTAATTAATAAGGCAAAATTACACTTTCCTTTCACAATCCTAGTTTTTGGTTTTAAAACCACTGAATTAAACATAAGGCTGTGCAATGAAATTATTATTTAGGAGAGTTATAAGCAAATACAAATGAAAGCGAAAAAATCTGAATGATTATATGTTGGCTTCCAAGAGAAATATGTGAGATATGATGTATCAGAACATTAAATAAATTTGTGGTAACAGAAATCTGTGCCATCAGTACCTGGGGAAACCTCGTGGAACAGCTGCTTCATCATGTTCCTGACATTCATGAATCATTGTGACAGTTAGTTGGGTAAGTCCATAGATTGTGGCCAAGAACATAAGATTTGATTTAATTTTAAATCTGGCTTTTTGCCTTGAGTGATGTGAAAATAATGCTGACACATCTTAGATCATTCCACAGGAGTTCCTGTAGTTGACCTAGTATTCAGCACTGATAGACTTTAAGATGTCTACTTATTTACTTGACTATCTAGCACAACTTTCAGAAATAGGGACATTAATAAGTCTCATGGAAAATTGGTGTTATATATGGTAATTGTAGCAAGATTATTACCAGTATGTGCATAAAGATTTGGAACTACCTACAATGGAAGAATGGCTGTTTTACATTATCAAATTTGCAGAAAGGGCAAAATTGACTTGTTTGATTAGGGAAAAGATGGACATTTATTAGTGACTGAAAACCCTTTCTGGACTTTTTTCTGAAAATGAAAAAAATGAACTGGTGATTTATGGGATTGATGATTGGAAAGGATAAAATATAGACAGAATCATGATGCAACCTTAAAGTGGGAGGATAGATGATAGATTGATTTGTAACTGCTGTAAAGATGATCAGAAACCACTTCTTTATACTTTATTTTTCTTTTCTGTTTCTTTATCTATTTATTTACCTTGAGGTAAGATGGGAGCGGGGCTATAAAATAAATAAATGAATAAATCTATTCACCATTTTCTTTGCTCTTTTTTCTTTTTCTTAAATTTGCATTGTTTTTCTATTACATAAAATTAATATCTATCAATAAAAATTAATTAAAGAAATAGGGACATTTTATCTATTTTCAATAAGGAGAAATAGAGGCTAGAATTTAATTATCTTTATATATTTCTGCCTTGATTTGTATAGATTGAATAAATCCAAGATGTTATTTGCTCCTGGATTCTAGTTTTAGAAAGTTGATTGGCAATTTGTGGCAGCATTAATTATTTGTAAATTGGTACCTCATTTTTATAAAGGATTTTTAAGGGATTAAATGATTTGGATTTTTTAATTTCCATAAATGATCTTTGTAAGCTAGATATCCATCGTACTAGAAGAGATAAAATATAAGCTGAAGAGCACTTGAGAAGCTTAAGGTTAAAAAAATTACGAAAATAAAGGATTAATAGAAGAGAATATATGTAGCCCATGGCTAAATTGTGAAGACCTTGGTGTTCTCTGAGCTTGGTTGTTTGCTTGTAGACATTTGATTAATTGACTAGGTAAACATCATTAGTGCTGGAAGGGTTTGTCCTCTGTTTATATACAGTACCTTACCCTTTAGAGGGGTAGGTTTAATTCTCAATGAAAAAAATGAAATATATACTAGTGAGTATAGATTGGTATCATCTGTGTTGTGGGTATGTATGAAAATTGTAATCTACAGGTTTGTGGTAATTCCATGTAAAGGAACCATGTGTGAATTTTGCAGAAAATGATGTGATTTAGGAGAAGATTCTTTATTTCACAAGTGTTTCATACAAAATAAGTATGAATGTAAGTATGCCTGCCTTAAATTAGTTAAAAGAAATGAGGGGAAAAAGCAAAAGGGAAATGAAACAAATATATGGACATTTCCAATACATCTTCAAACACTGTATATAGAAAGTTTATGCAAATATTTCAATGAAGGGTTACTATATTTCATTATAATGATCAATGCATATCTAAGTCTATAAGTATATCTAATATAGCTATAACTTTTTTGTTTTATTATTTGTTACATTTTCGTTGCTCTGTGTAATGTTGCTTGCTCGATATGTTATGTGTATGCAACAAAAGTGACAGAGATATCTTAACTCTCTTGTATTAGGAAGTTTACCAGTTGTTGTAATAGAAGGCCAGCACCCACTTAATTTTCTAATTTTTCTGAGCA